CGCATACGGTAGTAAAAAACCCTGGACTCGTAGCGCTCAAAACGCTGACATTCGGTGCACAGAGTGNCTTCGCTCCGCATACGGTAGTAAAAAACCCTGGACTCGTAGCGCTCAAAACGCTGACATTCGGTGCACAGAGTGCGCGGCTAGTAGGGTTCTACTGTCGTCCACGGAATGACAATCAACTCGTTAAACGGCAACAATACCGAGTAAGGTGGGAAGTGCGTATCGATAATAGCAAACCCGGCTTCTACAAACCCAGAACAGCGGTTGGCCAGAGGGAAGTAATATTGCCCGCCGATTTGTGCAACGGCTTCTCATACGTCCCACTCAAATACACGGGTCTTTTCCTCACTGTAAGGAAAAGGTCGCATTGGGATGGGAGATACGGGAGGCTGGCGCCCAATCGAAGGGTACATGTCAGTCCACATGTCAATCAATCACAAAATATCTTGAGACGTCATTAAGAACAAAAGCGATTCGCGCATCCCCCAATCAATCTTTTTGACACAAGAGAGAGAGCAGACACAGATCAGCTTGATCACGCATATGGCTACGGGTCCGATCRATTCAACACAACGTAGGTCCCTGGGCGCCTTGTTTCTCAGGGCCGCCTCGTGGCTCGRCTGCTGATGTCGTGCAGCATAAGGCAGATGGCATGCGAAGTGCAAACGGAGTTACAGATCTAAGCACTCTTGCATTCTCGAACAAAATCCTGACGACAATYGTCTAATCAACAAAGGAGTCACATATTCCATACATGCATTCACTGTGGAAGGTGCGAAAATGAGACATGCACCGGAAAAGATGGGTCGCATTGCACAGTACACACACATCCACCGTCCACAAGACAAGAAGGCGGGGTCCTTGCGTAGGAGGATTACCTAGGAAGCTAATGAAAGAGTTCCGGAAGAAGTTCTTTTACACAAGAGAAGCGCACCGATTTGCTCCTACTTAGCAGAGAAAGCGAGAGACAATCAATCGAGACACATCCCTGTTCAAAAGTAGAGAAAAGAGAGGGGGGGGGGGAGAGAGAGAGAGAGAGAGAGTCGAGATAGGTGATGACCAGATCTGGGAGAGAGACATTCGACATGACCACCATGCACTCACACCAAAGGTAAAGATCCGCAACAACAAAGGCGCATTCGCCGTTAATTCCAATATGGCCCCGGGCCAATCACTCACTCAACTCCAATCATCGAACCTCATACCCGCACCGACGATCCCGGCCGTCGCGTGCTAATTCCCACCACTGCGATCACCACCCCGCTGTCGTAAGCTCGACACGGTTCGCCCGGATCCCACAGTCCGTCGTGGCGATCAAGTGCGCAACCGGCCAAACTATCGTCAGCCCGACAAGACTTTCCGACTCGCATCAACACACTCTGCCTAACCACTGCTTCCCGGAAGCTGGCTTAGGAGTTGAGAACGTAAGAGAGCTTTGAGGACGCGCTTGCGGGTTTTATAGTTGCGACAGGGGAGATAGAAGGGGAAGAAGGCGACATGAAAGTTGAGGTGTAAGAGGAGAAGCAGGAGGAGAAGACTTTGAGAAGAGTGTTTTACGAGCGCCATGTCAATCCCTCGGAACACAAGGTTCAACCAATCATATTCGTCGCACGATAGGAAGGTCCTATCGAACCACGCACCTGATTGGCGAGAGGGAGTTATCGGGGGATCGACCGGGCGTCACACGCCAGACATAGAGGGTGAGAAGAGAAAAGGCGCGAGAGGTGGCACAAGACGGGTCCAATATTCAGATGATCAAGAAAGGGAAATGGGCGCGCGAAAGCAAGGCAGGAGAGAGAGAGAGGGAGAAGAAAAAACAGTTACGGGGAGAGAGAAAAAGGAGGGAGAAGGGAAGGGAGGCGCGGGAGGGAGCGATGCGGGGGACAGAGAGGAGGAAGCTTTTGCATGGACAGAGAGGAGGAAGCTTTTGCATGCACGTCGCCGTCAACAAAAAAAAGGAAAAGGCACCGAAACAGTTACAATTTGCTTCTATCCTAATTCAAAATTGAAATCACCATATCCGCGCGCGAAAAAGCGACGCGGGAAAAGAAATTCCTACGCCTATTCGTGTTACGAGAGTTTTCCCCGACGCGCCCAAGAACATTCACACACCCAAAAAGGACACATCGAAGTTTTGCTTATCCCGGAATTCCCAACTACCGAGCCCAATTCCCAGTGCGCTCGCTAAGGCGCGCGTACATTCCCATGTATTTCCCGACTTTGCCAGAAGAAAAACAGAACTCAGCAGTCGAAAAAGCTCTCAAAAAGGAAAATGCGGCACCCGAAAGCAAGAACTCAAAACGGGGTTTTCCTGGGGTTGGTATGATACAAGCAAAAGATAGGGTACAAAAGATAGCACGGGTTTGTGAAGTGGTTCGTCACATGCCTGCGACTGCTGGCCAGTAGATCCATAGGAGAGATCCTCAATGTACCTGAAGATGGGGATGGAGGGGGTGCACTACGAAAAATATTGAGGATGCAGTGGAAGGGCCTCATGAGCACCCAAAAAAAAAAAAAAAAAAAAAAAAGGCGTTTGAAGGGAATGGAATGCTTCGGAATTGTGCATATAATGAAACATGGACTTGTCGTTGATTTCAGAGACTTCATGACGTGCGCCGGGTTCAGATCTGGATGTGGCAACCATCAAAGCACAACCGGAAGGAGAAGTGTGGAAGGAGGGGTAGGGTAGGGTAGGGTAGGGTAGGGTAGGGTAGGGCAGGGCAGGAGGGGTGGCAGGGGGGAATCCTTGTGATCCCTACCCACAGGAGACATTTTGTGCTTTCAGATTAGAAGTCTGCGAGTGTAGCAAATGAGAGCCTGAATTCGCGTTTTTTTTCAGTTTACAAGTCTGAGCTAGACATTTTCTGCTTCCAGATTAGAAGTCTGTAAGTGTATGGAAAAAAAAAAAAAA